TAAATAGCGCATTCTTGCCAGTGTAAGGAGAATTCGGAATCAAGGAGTCTCACATTTTATTTCATAAGAAACACAACCGTGTTGGTTTGCTTTATTTTAAAATGATTTCTTTCAGTTTTTGAGATAATAATATAATTTCTCCTTTCCCTTTCTGTCCTCCAAACACTCCCATATATCACTCCTTGTTCTTTTTCAAATTCATGACTTCCGTAAACTGCTGTTAGATACATATATGTATCATATATAAATACCTAAGTACAACATGCCTAATCTATGTAGTGTTAATTTATTTATGATTTTAGGGCTGCCCATTGATATTGGATAACCAATTGGTGTGTCCTCTATAATTGGATGTAAAACCTGCCCAACAAGAGGGAAACCATGTTTGGTACTGGGAACCCAGCCAACTAGTCAAAACTAGTGAAGTCATGGATCTTGGAGGAGAACCTACAACCATCATTTTACTAAACCAGCATAATCCCTAACTACATCCTAAATATTTGTCCTTATCCCCACAGTAAGTGCAGTTCTCACCGCTGATCAAGGAGACCGAACCTGTTATACAAAAACCACAACCAATCGAAATGCAGAGTTGTAGATCCCAGTTCCAATGGATTCGTCTACAATACAATGCCCACACCTAAGGCTCAGGGATCATTGTGGAAGAAGGGGGCAAAAAGATTGTAGGGAACATTGTAAAAGCCAGAGGTGCAGGGTCTTTGCTGTGAAAATGTCTCCTAGGAATATCAGAAGCTACCTTGTCAAGGCTCATCAGCACGAACACGAAAACCCAAACAAGAGCTCAACAAGGACAACAATAGACATGCTGATGCCATATAATGGTGGTGGGGGCCCAGCAGACTTCAACCCTACACACAGAACTAGAGGCAACTAAAGAGTGCTGAGAGCAGGAGAAACAGTCTTCCCTAGTGCTGGTTCTCATTGTCAACGTGACACAATACAGAGTCACCCAGGGAAGGGAGTCTCTCGGATGAGTCCTGTAGAATGGGTTGGTCGGTGGGCATGCTGATGAGGGGTTTTCTTACTTGGATTACAGAGATGGGAAGACCCAGGCTGCGTGTGGGTAGTTCCGTGATCATGGCCTGGGCCCTGCGACTGAATGAAAGGGGGGGGAGGGAGCTGGCTGGTGACTCCTGCATGCATTCCTGCCCTCTGATCCTGATGATGGACATGGTCTGAGAACCTGCTCAAGCGCAGTCACAGTGATGTCCCAGCTGGGATGGACTCTAACCAGGAAATGTGAACTAGTACAAATCTGCCCTCCCCTGAATAGTTCTGTCAGGATATGTTAATCACAGCAACAGAGAACAAAACTAAGACAACATCTGGAGAGATTGAGTGATTGCCTTAGTAATGTCCTTGGTATATAAATTAGTTATACAAATAATAAGAAAAGACAAGGATCATAGCAGGAAAATAAATATGAACAGAAAGCTTTATTTGAATAACTAAGAAATATGTAAAAAATGCTTACTGCCAGGAGTGATTTTCAAATGTAAATAAATTTCTCTCATTCTTAACAAACAGGGGACAACACTAAGGTCACTGATGTAAGCTCAGGGCATCACTGCAACATCCCTGTACTATGACATTCGGTCATAATGATGCAAAGGGTAAACAGACAAACAGAAGCCAAAAGATGCTAATGAGGTGGAAGGAACAAGCAACCAAAAAAGAAGTGCTGGTGAAATAAAGAAACCAGGACTTTATGTCACGGAGCATAGGAATAACATGCTAACTGTAGCAGTTAGCGTGACTCTACACCCCGGGGTCCAGGAACTGTGCTAACTGTAGTAGTTAGTGTGGCTCTACATCACAGGGCTTAGGAGCTGTTCTAAATGCTTATCCTATCTCATAAGGCTCCATGCAAATGCTACAAATCTCTGCTGCTTTGGCTTCAGGAACAGTCAAAGGAGTCTGAGTTCTTGGTTTCTTTGCCAAAAGCCTTTCACTTTGCTGTTAGGAATGTTAAGTATTCACATCTTCTAACTGATCCCCCTGTGCTGTGAATCACAGCTTTGCTCAAAATAGAGCTCATTACGGTGTCATGAATGTCTGAAGCATTCTCCTGGATTATCTGGAACTAGAGCTTAATGCCCATCCAATGAAACATCTTGGGAAGACACTTCCTCACCTTCCTCTTTAAGACTCAGCATTGCTTGGTGACTGGTGTCAGATAGGCCTGACTGCAAATTAGAAAAGGCAAGGAGATGAGGTTTTGGCAAGACCCAGACCCAACAGCTGATGGTAACCATAGAAAACAAGATGTTTCCACTCAAGTGCATCCAAAATGCAAACACCCGAAAGTTTTGTAGATGAAAGAGCCTCTACACGCAATACATGTGTGAAATGCTGGCTTGCTATTAGGAAAGCCGGTTCAGGGTTCCTAACTCTACTCCTTCCAAGCTGGCTGTTTCCTCATAAGGGTTAACTGATGTCTGCAATACTCAATGGTAATGGCACCCATTATGTTTTCTGAAGAGAAAGAATGCATACTTGTCTTCTAGATGATGCACCTGGAGCAAGCATTTGTCCCCAGTGGCTTTCATCTTTACCATGGCCTCCCTTTAGGTTAAAATAGCGATATAGCTGGAGAGGAAAAATGAACTGCTTCATTTCACACACCAATAAAAGCCTCTAATGCACTGATTTTCTTATTTGAGACCATGCACCCACACACAGCCAATCTATGGAGTAGGCTCTCTTGCAAATACAGCTGCCTGAGTGTCTAGAAAACACATTGTGGAAGTGAGAGCAATCTTTCCCGCTAGGAGGCAGCTCAGCATGCAGGATGTGAGAACCTGGCTTGGGCTCTCACTGCCTAGTAGCAGCCCCGGTTTCTAGCTCAGGCACTCAACTTCGGGCATCTACTCAATACTGGGGTGAGCTGGAGCTAGAGAAATCCTCCAGACCTCAGGGGACTCTAAAGAAAGCACCAATAAAAACAACCATGGCCAAAGCTGTCCTTCTGCCTGCTTTTTTGATTGACTTTCACTTCAAAACCATCGAGCATACTTGGTAATGTACAGTCTGAGGCTCTTCATGCTGTAGAGGCAGGATAGGGCGGTGACAAAGATACGGAGTGGACTATGGAAGCGAAATATCTACTCACTGCCTTCTATAACCAGAGGAGTCAGATGAGTCTGTAAGCAATCAGTAGGTCAATCAATCAATCACCAATCAATCAATAGTGCTAATCTCTGTCTTAGGTCATCTTATCCATATCCACATTAAGTATCGCCATTCCCATGTCTCACGAGTGTATGTTCTCTGAGGTCCCTACCTTGGGAAGGGTTTTCATGGGCAAATCATCATGGAGTAAAGGGCCACCATCATGTATTGAGATCGTTCTATCACTCTCTGATAGGAACCGTTTCTCTGTTTGCAGTGTCATGACCTGCAATTTGCTATCTGTGTGCTTTCACGTATATGTAGGTACAAGGGTTGTGAGTGTCACTCTAACTGGCTGGGGCTGCCTTTCAGACCCTCAGGAACATTGGGGCTGTGGCTGAGTTGGAGCCACACTGATTTCCCACTCTATGAGCAGGTTTTCTACACAGAAGTGGGTGACACTTGAGTGAAGTAGAATATGATCATGCTGGCAGTGGGACAGAAATAGGAGTGGCGTTTTCTGAAGTGAAGTGAGATGGAGAGAGGCCATGCAATTCTGAGGTCCTTGTTTCTTACAGGTGCAAGCCATTCTGGTTTGCTTACGTACTCTATCTAGCCACATCAAGAGTTCAAGCCTTGGTGGGTAGGAAGCCAGTTGTGATGTTTTTCTTTATTTTTTTCTTTTTTTTTTTTTGGTTTTTACGAGACAGGGTTTCTCTGTATTGTTTTGGAGGCTGTCGGTCCAGCCCTGCCTCGAACTCACAGAGATCCGCCTGCCTCTGCCCCCCGAGTGCTGGGATTAAAGGCGTGCTCCACCACCACCCGGCAGAGATGTCTTTGATTAGTGGGAGTTTTCTAATTTCCAGTTTCCTTGGGTTCTCAGGCGTATTACAGAATGGGTTCTCAAAGGAGTTGCCTGTCATTTGGTTCATCCTAAGGTGGGGTAGTAGCATGAACAAATATCTGTGAAAGCTGGGCTATTTCATGATGTGCAGGAGAGTATGGGCTTCCTCCCTTCTGCCATGGCAACTAAGAGGCCAGCCAGGCTTGGTATTACGCTGGAAGGTGGAGAGATGGTGTCATACTCCGAGATTTCATGTGTTGATTGCAGTCAGAAGACACATTTTGGTCCATGCATCTTTGATAGTTTCTAAGTTAACTGTTGATATTTAAAATTTGACTTTCTCATTTAAAAGACATCTAGTTTCCCAACATCTCTTACAAAGTCAAAATCTCAAGATGTACCTTCTTTCCAGGGGTCATATAATTGAGGGTGGTTTGCTTCGGAGGAAACCAGTGTACTCTGGGTCAGCTTATCCCTGGCCTTTTCAGCCTTTGGTGGTGTTTGCTCCACCCCCAACCACCTTCCTGTGCACAGGCAACTCACGTGATGGTGGCCTACGGTCACTCTGATGTTTGTTGTGGCTTTCTCTGACCTGCTAAGTGTTTCATTAACTCACTTCTGCCATATGTGATCTCATCACATTCCATTGTGAGTCACTGCTGCTGGGATAGGCAGCCCACGTTGGGGAAGATACATTGGCATATGGTCACTAAGGTTGCAGAACCATTTGTTATATGAATCTGAAAGACTTTGACAAATAATGCCCCCAGTGCACAGTAGTGATCCTAGGAGGACCAAATGCCAGCCTTCCACTGAGAGTATCACTTCTCCTCAGCCGCCCTCCTGAGAATGACATCATTTCTGAAGAAGAGGAAAGCATTTTCAGAGGAAGTCATAATACCTAATGGCTTAGAAATAATTGCTGCTAAGATTCTCAGGTCTGGCTTTAGGACCCTGTACTTTACTTTAGGTGACACACAGAAGACACACAATGAGAATCAAGAAAGGATGGATGCCTGGGTACCTGTCATACTGTTAGGAGTCATAGGTCAGTAGTCATGCTGGGTTCTCTTCTGCACTGGCATTTCCTACAAACAGAAAAAAAAATACATGTTACAATTGGCACTTGACTTTTTATTGAGAAAGGGTCTTACTATGTAGCACCAGCAGGCCTGGAACTTGCTGTGTGGACAAGGCTGGCTTCAAACTCACAGAGATTCTGCTGCCTCTGTCTCCTCAGTTCTAGGATTTAACTTATTTATTAAATATATTTTATTTGTTCTTGACAATTTTCCCACATACCCCAATCATACACCCCTTCCATCTTCATGTTTTCTCTTTTTATTTTTTTGAAATCCAATAAGTCACCTAGTGCTGCCTGTTGGCGCACTGACTGGTCTTGCGAACTTGATTGTGTATGGGTAACCGACCCTGCAGTGAGTACATGAGTTCAGAAGCCAACAGGTCATCACACTCCTCCCCATCCTCTGGCTTTTACATCCTTTCCGCCCCATCTGACTTACGCTGTTGTTATTTTTCTAAACAGTATTGTATTCACTAACAAACGTGGGACAAGATTGCTCACTCAAACTTGGAACTGGGGGGTTAGATGCAGAAAGGGTTATAAGACACACACACAAGGTGGCAAAGCCTTTATTTTCATCTCTGGCTTCATTCTAAAATTAGGCTTTTAAAACCTTTTTTTTGTTGTTGTTTGTTTTTATGAGGCAGGGTTTCTTTGTATTGTTTTGGAGGCTATCGGTCCAGCCCAGCCTCGAACTCACAGAGATCCGCCTGCCTCTGCCTCCCGAATGCTGGGATTAAAGGCATGCACCACCACCGCCCAGCAATGTGTAGCCCAGGCTGGCCTCGAACTCGTGATCCTCCTGCCTCTGCCTCCTTCAGCAAATCCTATCGGCATGTGCCACCACAACCGGCTAAAACCATTTTTTAAGGGTACCTTTTTCCACTGTTCTTTGGTTTGTTTGTAAGAGACCTGCCAGACTATGGACAGGCTATTTTCCTGTGACTTTCTAAGATGCTTAAGCATCTCCAAGCCAGAGCGTCTCACCATGCATGCTACAGAGTAGCAGTCTCAGCCTTGATGGTACCTTGAATAAGACCCTAGATGATTCATATCTTAGACTTCTTGTTCTTAAGACCTGACTCCCTCATCTGCCCAGAGCTGCTTTCTGCTCTTCACCAGAGCATTTATGAGTCCATGAACAAATGAAAGGCTGCCACTCAGACTGGAGGGGAGGAGGCCCAGTGGGATCAATGACAGAAGCGTACAGCTGAGGGATGTGTGCTGAAGGGTGCACACACAGGTCAGAGTCCCTCGGTGTGTCGCTGGGGATATTTTCTGGAAGGGGTTCTGTGACCAGTGTAGGATGATAGAAACATGTGTCTCTATAATGGTGCTGAAGCTTAAGTCACAGGTTCAAGGGTCAGCATTGCTGTGTACTAGCTGTGGGGCCTGAGAAGCAATTTCTAAGTACTGGAATTCTCATTTCTTCAGTGCGAAATGAGGAAGTGGGCATTCACTTAAGTATGTCACAAGGCTGCTGCTGAGGCTTACAGCATGTAAGGGGATTTGTAGTTGAAATACAGCACACTGAGCTATGGTGGCCCTTGGTTGAGGAGTCATGATGTTGTGGTAGGACAGGAGGAAGCCAATGGGCAAAGAAGCACATGAATTATGTTCTTAATACAGCTCTACATATGGTCACTCGGTCTTTGACTCTACACGAATGTGGTGGTCATGGTTTCTTGCCTTTGTCGTAATTCTTGTTACACCTAACAGAAATCATAGGTTTGCATGGCCATCTTTCCCATGAACTGTAATCTCTCATGGCATAGCCTGCTATTCTCATTTTTCTATCTCCTTCATCAAGAAGAGTATTGAACACATAAACATATGTAGAATAATGGCTATAGCAAAGTGAAACTGCCAAGACATGCGTGATGCATGCCACCTGAACTGCATCTGATGGAAAAGATGAGGAATAGCTACTAGGAAATGAATTCTTACAGATGAGCTTTTTCAAAGGTCACCAGCAACCAGCCTTCAGACCCAGCCCCATTCCCATTCCCACGTTCAACTTCTTGGAGTGAGATGAACCAGGCTTGGAGATGTTGACTGTGGCACCACGGGTTATGCCTGAAGTCAAATGGACTCTGTTGCTTTTAGCTTTGCTATTGGCTCCCCTTCAGCCTTGGAACCTGCCATGTTTTTTCCACCACATGACTGGGATTGTGGTTTCAGAGGGTAACGGGGATTGCAGCTCAGATGAGCAACTAGAGTGCCCCACGTCTGGCCATGCTGGTTCAAAGGGGATAAGATGCCTCCTCTGGACATTTGGAAAAACAGAAAGGAAAGCGAGAACAAAGGATGGGGGAGAGGGAAAGAAGGAGGGAGGGAGCTAGGAGGGAGGGAGGGAGAGAGAGAGAGAGAGAGAGAGAGAGAGAGAGAGAGAGAGAGAGAGAGAGAGAGAGAGAGAGAGAGAGAGAGAGAGAATTTGCTCTCAAGAGGAAGGTAAATCTACAACTCTTTGAGACCAGAGCAAGCAGGAGGACTAACATGTTGTACCAAGCCTCACACATGGTTTCAGTCCTCCCCAAGGCCCATCCCCATCCCCTCCAGGCCACTCAACTCTGCCTTGGTGACCTTTGGCAAACACACCCTCTTTCACATGAGCTGGTTCGCTCAGAGTTGTCACCTGACTGACAACTCCCAGCTTCATACACAACAATAACACCAGTGTGGCAAAATAGACCGTTTTCCTTCATAACCTCTGGACTGGAGCCATACATTCCCAGTTGTATTCTTGTAACACCACCAACTTACGTTTCTTTATCTTCAAAATTCCGACTGAATGGGCATATGTACTGCAGAAATAAATGCGAGGCAGAAGTGACTTGGGGCAGGAAAACAGTCTTATCGGCGTTCTAAAGGGCAGCATCACAAGCCTCAGTGCTAACTTCCCTGGCTGGCATTACTCACTTCTCTTTTCTTCAGTGCGACTGAGGTTTTGTTACTGCATTATCAGCGATGCTGTGCCGTGGTGGTAGCATTCGATGGCATGGCCGTCACTCCACTGTTAACGATGTGCTGGTAGACTATTGCTCTAGAACTTTAGTAGTACGTAGCATGTGATATTGTTCATTACCATTACCCTTCAGTGAGTTCTAGATTTATTTATCGTCCTCAGTGTGCATGTGGGGGTTGTGTGTGTTTATGGAGGCCTGAGGTTGATAGGGAATCATCTTTGATTAGTCTTCTATGTTATTCCTTGAGACAGAGTCTCACAATCAAACCCAGAGCTCACTCAGATTGCTAGCATTACTAATCTGTTTAGGGAGCCCATCTCTGCCTTTTGAGGCTGGAATTACAGGGAGGACCTCATGACCACCTGGCACTTACTTGGGTACTGGAGATCTGAACTCACATCATCAGGCTTGTGCAGGGAGCACTTAACCACTGGGCTATCTTCCCAGCTCTGGGATCTAGGATTTTAAGTGTGTCTCCAGTAATGAGTCTCACAACTTGTCAGGTATCACTTGTCCCAGGGTCTGAGTCCCACCTATCCTATAACACCCTAGGGGAGGGGTCTTCTCCACAGTTGTGCAGGAGTCTGGGGCTCAGTAGTTTGTGAGGCCACAGGAGGAAACAAGAGTTAAATCATGCTAACTGAGTTGCATGCCTGAAAGGAATGGCACAGTGTAGGCCTTTGAGAGCCGGGGCAGGGAGGAGGAGTAGCAGGTACTGAGGTGCTAGCTAGGCTGGGCAGCTCTGTTGATGAAGGACTGAGATCCACCACCATCCAGAAGAGTCGCTTCTCTACGACAAATGTCAGCTTTTACTGGTTCCACTGCATGTGGGTCAGGGAGAAATTTGCTTTCTTATGTATTTAAACTTTGTTTTCAGCTAGACCCAGCGGTTCATGCCTGGAATCCCAGTAGTGATGAGACCTAGACAGGGGATTTTCAATGAGGCCAGCCTGGGATACATGGTTCATTCTGGGCCAGCATAGGCTCAATATTTTCTTTTTATTCAGGGTCTTGCTTTGATGCTCAGTGTTAGTGTTCAACTTGCCATCCTCCTGCCTCAGCCTCCTGAATGCTTCATATTACAAGAGTATACCAGCATGCCTGGATAGTGGCTAAGAATTTTCATTTGGAACCATTGAAGGCTCATTTGCAAAGAGACAAAAGTCTTTCTGAAGCCTCAAAGCCTAGCCCCAGTGAGGGAGCAATTGTACTTCATTCTGTACCCTCAGTGGGTACCACTGAGCTGGAAGACAGTGACATTCCTCTGCTGGGAATGGCAGGAGTCTCAGCCCCACAGGGAACAAAGGGCTATCAAAGGGCAAAGCTTTTAGACTTCACCAGTCCGTGTTTTTCCTTCAAGAAGGGAGATGATGCAACAGCGTCTGTGGTTGCAAAGAAGCTTCATCTGCTGTGGCTGACTGTTGTTCACAAGAAGGTGAGGCTGTTAAAGTCTCCTTATGTAGCTTAGGCTGGTCTCAAACTTGTGGTCCTTCTGCCTCTGCCTCCTGAGTGCTAAGATATGCACATAAGCATGTGCCACTACGTCCAAGCGTCTCATGCTAGAGCTCATCTGGAGTGTGTGTCAGGTGCCAAATGCTATGTGAATGCTCTCCCACTGAGCAAGAACCCCAGCCCTCACAGGTCTCCCTTCTGACTCATGTCTGTGTCAAACTCTGCCTCCTCTGTTTCCTTTATCTTCCTTTTGTTTTTCTGCCCCCTCACAGGTGATGCCACCATGGCATGTGGCAAAGAGCATGCATCCTGCCACTCCTAACAGAGACAGGAGACACATTTCTATGACGGGATACTGTGTCCATTTTAACAGTTCTTAGGATAAGTGCCTGTGATGCGTGGGGCATCCCCTTTTACATGGTCGAGGGCTAGTCTGATAGATATGCTATCTCTGCTGTGAGAAATAGTTCAACATACAGACAGGAGTGGAACTCTTGGGGTCAGAGCAAGCTTTGAAATGATCTAAGCAAGCAAAGAAGGCAGCCGCTCTAAGGCCACCTGCTACATGAAATGAATCGTCACACAG